TCTCACTCTCCCAGTGTAGACGTTCATGACCTTCTCCAGAGTATAGCAGCCAGGACCGCTTTGGTCCACCCTGATCCTGTCCTTCTCGAATCCTCTTCATATTGCAACCACCAGGAGCTAGAGCCTAACACCCGCAGTGTGGGGGACCCCAGCAGTGCACATGGTAGAGGTGCAGATACACTGACAGCAGAAATCCTTCTAAATATATTAAGAGAGTATTTTAGGAGACACCATTTCTCCTTTCCTCTTACCCTTTCTAGAACCCTGGCTTTTCTTCTCACTCTCCAAGGACTGGAGATCTTCATACTTCATTGACATCCTTGGACCAACTCTGAGGCTGTCAGAGCTGAAATGGAGGCAGGGCCAGTGACCAGGCTGGGGCTGGAGAGAGGAGACAGGGAAGGCTGGGACTAGGTTAGAACTGAAGTCAGGGCTGGAGTTGAGGTAAGAGAAGAAGTTCAGGTTGAGAATGAACCAGGGGTTAGGGATACGAATGAGAATGGGCCTGGGTTTGCAGCAGGGGTTGGAAATAAGGTCAGGATTGGTCTTTGGGCTGGGGATGGCTTGAATGTGAGATTGAAGGTAAAGGTAGAGTTGGAGTTAAAGGTATTACTAGGACTGGGTCTTACACTGGGGATGCAAGTAAGGTTGTGTCTCCTCCTAGGACTGGGGTCAATACTGGTGTTGATGCCATGAATGGAGTGGGGCCCAAGTTTGGTGCTGATGTTGGAAATTGAAGAGAGTTGGGTTGGTGCTAGTCTTTGTAATGGGGTTAGAACTGCGTCTAAGCTGGAGGCTGAAGATGGGGCTGGAACTGTGCTAGAGATGAGGCAATCCAAATCCAATTAAGTGAATAGAATCTAAAATCTCCACCAGCTCATTGAATCTCCAAGCTGCCCTTTTATATCTCTTCCTATTCAGTCCCAGTTGAGACCCACAGCCCCTCTCCCTGCTTTCTCTAACTCCCTCCCTGTCCCCTTGGTCTCACCTGCATCCCCAGCCCAGTTACCTGTGCAAAGTCTGGAGGCTGTGATTCTTGGGTTTGCCTTGCAGCAGTGAGCAGAGTTGGATAAAATGAAATCCTGGAGAGTGGGGTAGAGGTGAGCGAGGGAGGATTCAGGTCAGTGGCTGGAGTCCTGCTGGTCTCTGTGTCTAAAAGCCCAGGAGTCTATAACCTGGGATCTCCCTTTTCTTCAACTTTCGTAGTAAATAATAATCAGAACCCAGGCAGAGAGTGTGTGAGTAAAGAAGTTATATATAAGGCCAGCTTTGCTCCCCCCACCTCACCCCTGCTCCTCCAGGGTGTGTCTGGTCCTTTTCAACTCCTATTGAACTCCCTTGACTTCCTCATTGTTGCCATTGTGGAGAGGAACCCCTCCCAGAGGGGTCCATAGGTACAGTTTGTTGCTTCTTCTTTGCCCCACACAACCTTTCACTTCCTGCATCAAAATTTTCCATTAGTGATAGTGCCTCCACCATTGCACACCCAGATCCAGAAGAGCCTTTTTCTCAGTTCTTCCTCAAGCGTAACCCAAGTCCCTGGCATCTGAGCTTCCTCTGGAGCCTGAGCAACCAAGCTCCCCCAGTTCTGGCCTAGCTCTGCTCACTCTTCCCAGAAGGAGGGAAGAGGGTGAAGGACAGTAGGATCCCTGGCCAGATTGGGACAGGAGGATCTGTGGACATGAACAAACTTTGATTGAGCATCACATTAACCATTCAGTTCCTGCAGAACCATGGGAGGAGGAATTGGAAGATGGCAGTGAAGTAGGTGGATCTTTCTCCCACCTCCTTCCAGAATTTAACTAGAACTGAACTGAACTGGGGAATAGTCACCCTAAAATACCAGCTGAAGACTGGCTGAAGAGGAGACTTTTAAACTAGGAAGGGCAGAGACCTCCTCAAAACTGGAAGGAAAGGCAGGGAGCCAATGGGCACTGGCCCAGCACCAGGAGCTGCAGGCCAAGGGAGTGGAAGGTTCCCCCAGAGAGGAGAGAGGCCTGGACACCAGGCAGGGCATACCAACCTGGACAGCCAGAACTGGCAATAGCCACCATGTGCCAACCAGCATCTCTGCTTCTAGTAGCCAGAGACCTGAACCGCCCAGGGACAAAGCCCCCTTTTTAAAGGGCTGGTACACAGGATTTTCCCTCCCAGACACTCACCCTAGTTTTAGGCAAAGGAAGAACAGTGTGAACTATGAACAGATAAAAGTGGTCCTGCCCTCACAGAACTTCTATTCTGGTGGGTGACAGATACAATAAATGAGTATGAAATATATAATATTAGAGGCCCAGTGCCTGAAAATTCGTGCACTTGGGGGTGCGGTAGGTGGGTATCTCTCAGCCCAGCCTGCACCCTCTCACAATCCAGGACCCCTCAGGTAGGGTCCAGTCCCATCACAGCATGGCTCCGGTTCCACAGATCCTGCAGGCAAGGGAGGGACCCAGAGGACAGTCAGATGGCAGCA